GAAATAAGAAGAAAAAGAAAAAAAAGAAAAGAAGAAAAAAGTGAAAAAGAAGATAAAAAAACAAAAAAAGGGCCCCCCGTGGGGCCACGATACGTGTGAGAGGTGTGCCGACACGGGTGGCGCGGACGCATGCGGGCTGCGCCGCTGGGACCTTCAGTGGAGCTCCCTAGGGGGCCACGAAACGTGTGAGGGGTGTGCCGAAGTAGGCGGCGGGGACGCATGCGAACCCTGCCGCATGGGCCTGGGTGGAGCTCCCTAGGGACTATGGGGCCACGAAGCGTGTGAGGGGTGCACCGAGTTAACATGCGGAGGGCAGAGGCAAGGAATGGGATGAGGGAGGAGGAGCATGAGGAGGAGGAGGAGGAGGAGGAGGAGGAGGAGGAGGAGGAGGAGGAGGAGGAAGAGGAGGAGGAGGAGAAGAGGGGAGGAGGAGGAGGAGGAGAGGGCAGCGGGAGGACGAGGGAGACGCTGGGCGCTCTCTTCGAAACGAGTGCCCAACACCACAGGATGGTTAGGAAAAACCTCTCCCACCCTCTTCGCCCTCCTCCACCCCTCCCGCCCAGCGCGCTGAACAGCGAGCGGCAGGGTCCGCACCATAGGCACACGGGGGGACTTCCACTCAGAATGTGAAATCGTAATTTGAGGGTCTGCCTCGGTGCGGCAGCGGCGGGAGCAGCGACGAGGAAGATGCGGCAGAGGCGGCAGAAGCTCCAATCTTTGCCTCCCCTCCCCCGTCTGTATCTCTCCTGTCTGTATCATGTTCGGTCCATGCCCTCCTCCGTCGCGGAGCCGCTTGTGTCGAGCCAATCGACTGCCTTCCTGGCGGTCGAGCGTCCGCTCTAATCACGGCCGCGTCCGTGCCGTGATGCGCGTCCGTACGGCGCGCACAACATCGGAAATGGTGCATTTAATCACGCGCAAGCTGGCGCTGGGGACGAGAAGCAGTCGTGAGGAGGGCGACCCTGGTCTGTAGGCCCCCCCTGGAGGCCCAAGAAAGACGAAGCACATCCAACTCGCCTGTA